AGGGGGGGGGGGGTTAGTTTAAAACTAATTACGTTTTAAAAAACATTCCACTAGACAAGTTTTTAAATTGGAATTTCACAATATTCCAGCTTTTTTGATCAAATAAATGCAGCCTTGGTGAGCATAACATTTAAAAATCTTAAGGATCCTAAATTTTATAGTGTATTTATTTACTTGTCATTAAAGAACTAAAAATAAACCATGAAAGTAACTTAAAAAAAAATAAAATAAAATCAAGCCACAAGTTTGACTTCACTTCCCAGAACACAATCATTCTGCTCATCTCTACCTGGGTAACGCGTAAGAGGCGACAGATCATAACGCTTCTTGTTGTCTGTGACTCGACACATCAGGTCTTCCTTCTCCTTCACACATGCGTATGCTGTTTGCCAGTCAAAGTAATACGTGCAGTCAGACTCTCCCGTAAAGACCGGCTGGCCATACTCTGCAAACCACAAGTCAGCTGTGAGCGAAACATTTTGAAAAGCAAATTTCCGACATGAAACAGTCATCTAGGTCACATTGTTGCATTTCCTTCTTTTTGGTTCTGATCCAATTAAACTTCCTCAATCAGGCAGGGTTAAAAGAGAAGCGCTGTGGTCTAACGAGTCGCTATGAGACGAGTCATTGTGTCACTCACCAGCCGTTGCATTGCACTCAAAGTTAATGATGGTCATGCGCTGGAATCCAGTGCTGCATCTGCTGCCGTCTGGGTAGATTAGCGTGAGATCACCATCTGAATATCTTAAGAGAAAAGAGAAAAGGGTTACAACTGCTCTTCAGTTTACATTTTCAGTGTAAATCAGTAACACAATCTAAGGCCAACCTCAGAGTTTGGTTCTGGAATCTCCCAGCAATCTTCTTCACATTATCCGTGTCTTTGACTTGGCAGGCAGACACGTAACCTTTGTTGTCAACACACTGTCCAGCGCTGGTCTCCCCACACACGTTCAGATAGAAGATATAGGTGTCCTGATCATTTTTGGCCTCAGCCATATAGGGTTTGCCAGTAGCTAAGGATAAAGAAATGTGACGAATGGTAAAGCATTATATTTGATAAGTAAGTACTCGATCACATCAAGGATGAACCACAACTGTATGGACTTATCGGAGAAGGG